ATTTTATAAGCAGGCCCTTATAATTTCGAAAATTTCAAAGAAGGTCCTAATTCAAAAAAATTGCAACACTGACCCTTACTACTAAATTGCAAGTGGGGGCCTACAATTTCATAAATTGCATGACATGCCCCCATCCAATTTTCACCCATTTTTTGAAAACCCTAAAATTCCACATCCCCCCTTTTTTTTGCAACGCCGCGAAGAAAGTAGCATAGCAGCCCGCAGCGTTGCTGTTGCAGCAGCGTGCGGCCAGGCGCTGCTTTACCAACACCGTTGCCTGCTATCGAGCATACCTTCGAGTGCGGCAGTGCTGTTGATGCCGCCACAACTAACGTCGCTGCCTGCTATCGAGCACAACTTCGCACTTGGCAGTGCTGTCAATGCCGCAACGTTGTGGTTCAGGTTATGCCACAAGTGCAGCGACAACTGTTGCTGTCGGCCGTTCCACCTTCTTTGATTTTGGATCTAGCACCGCGAAGAAAGTAGCATAGCAGCTCGTAGCGTTGTTGCTGCAGCAGCGTGCGGCCAGGCGCTGCTTTACCAACACCGCTGCCTGTTATCGAGCATCGCTTCGAGCGCGACAGTACTGTTGATGCCGCCACAACTAACGCCGCTGCCTGTTGTCGAGCATAGCTCCCCACGCGGCAGTGCTGTCGACGCCCGAAGTTGTGGCTCAGGTTATGCCACAAGTGCAGCGGCAACTATTACTGTCGGTCGTTCCTCCTTCTCTGATTTTCGATCCTTTTTTATTTTTTCTTATAAAACATATTCTAAAGAAAATAATAATAATAATAATTATTATTATTATTATTATTATTATTATTATTATTATTATTTTATAATTGCTAGATTCAAGAACAATAAAAGCAATCAACTTTTGACTGTTCAACCAAGCAAAACAATTTCTAAAAACCACAAAGTAGGCTCTGATATCACTATTGAGAATTTACTTAAACATGCACTGTGGAATTTAAATAATTTTCAATTCCCACCAAGGATCTGCTTTGTGGTTAGATAGAAACTCTGATAGAAAATTATACCTTTGTAGAATTCTGCAAACTCCTTTGCTTTTCTTTAATTTCAGCAACCTTGATATACAATCCACAACTGTCCAATTGTCCAGCCTCCAATGAAAATCCACACATAGAACAAGATTGAAAGTAGAGAGAATTAAGGTTAACTTTTCTTATATTAGCAAGAATAATAAATTCTTTACAGATTTAAAATCCTAATGACATATTTATATAAGCCCAGACGGGCATAGCCCGTCTCACAACTTAATCCGGTCCAATATTTAATTAATCTAATTAATCAAAATCGGTCCATAAATTAATTTGAGTTATTCATAAGTAATCCAATTAATTAATTATCCAACACTTGTCAATTAATTAATTGGTAAATCTCAATCTCCTAGTTCTTCTTTTGTGTGTGACGCATTAGATTCCCGATCATGATATCTAATGTTGTGAATTATTTTTTTGATCTAATCAAAATAAATAAATTAATATACCACTTTTTAATTTATCGTCAATTGACATCCGCCGTCTCAGATTGACATCTAGCAATGTGTCAGGGCAATACATGTGACGAGAAATGTCACGTGCTATGACAAAATCCAACTTTTTCGTTTATTGTAAAACTATAATCCCTTCATCAATATGATCCGATCAATTACGAGATATGAAAGTGTGTCAATCTCGATTATCGATCATATCTCTCATTCTACTATTAAGTCAATACAAGTCAGAAACTCCTTTTCAACTTATGAATGCACCTTGGCCAAGGATTTTATTATCAGCTTAATTAAATAAGATGTAGATCATAATCTCTTACTATCTAAGAGTGATGAATCCTCTATTGATCATTCACAACCTTCATATAATTCTTGACATACCCGAACGATGTTGTATTAGCAGCCCTTGGCAGAACAATATCCAATATCACAAAAGTATGACTGCCCTCATATAAGACACTTTGATGACCTCAAGTCAAATAACCAATTCCACTACCAAACATTAAGAGATTAACCACTGACACTCAAATAATTATCCATGTGAAATCTCCCAACAAAGTGTCAGGGCAATACATGTGACGGGAAATGTTCAATGTTTTGTTCTACAACAAAAATTCACGTGTTCATTTAAGTGTCATCACACTTTAGTTTGTGAAATCAACTACTTACTTCACAAGTAAGAAATGTCACAAGTGAAGATCTATCCGTAATAACGATATCCGTATTTCGTTATTACTTATGACCACAGATAATTTAAGATCCAATCATTTGTAATTTGTATCTCAAAATCACAACATTTTGTGATTAACAAATTACTAAGATTTGAATCTATGGACTTTATTATTTAATTTAATTGAATACTAATTAAATAATAGATTTGCCACAAAATTGCATCAATTATATTTTAAATGTGCTTATGCTCAAAGTTGATTGGACCTAGGGCTTAACACTTACATTATGATCAAATCACATAGCAATTAAATAGATGTATTAGACAGGTGGATGATATTCATGTGAAGTTGATGCAATCTTCCTCTCGATCAGGACCATCCGGTCCATGTTCCAACGTTCATTTCCAGTCGCCACCGCCTGGGAACATGGAGTACGCACATATATTTTTTTTTTCCCTTTCTTGGGATTATTTTTATTTTTTGAGGCATTGAGGATAATAATTGATTTGGGTTTTGAGTTAAAAAAAAAAAAATAATAAATAAATAAATAAAACTCGATATTTATCTATTTACTATTATAATAGAGTATGTGTTTTTGTGATTGGTATGTATTTTTACCTCTTTCTTATAATTGAAAACAAAGAAAAAAAAATGAGAAAATTACATAATTTTTATTTTTATTTTTATCTGTATAAATTTTTGAGTTGGATAGTCTTATTGGCTTGTGATGATATTATTGAAATTCTGTATTGATTTTATGATTTGTGAATAAGTTATGTGCTTTGATTGATTTTACACTTATCCATGTTAAACTTGATACACTTTGATCATGATGGTCGGTTTCTTCATCATGAAATTCTAAGTTTATACATTTTCTGGAATAAGTTGAAATAGTTTGAACTTAGAATACTAAGCCCATAACTTAATCATAATATACAACCTTGTAACCATTTGAAATTACAATTTAAAGTTGATTAAGCTAATGTAGGAAATTATTAATTAGAGCATTGATTCCATATAAAAATATTACTTAATACCGAGTAATGTTGTATCAATTATTTTATGTATTTATATTAATTTGATGATTGGCTAATTTGTATAAATGTTAGAATAATGTTGTAATCTACTTTTGAAGTTTTGATATTTATTTTCTGAATTTGACATTAAAACGTTTATTTAATTTTGAATGATTGTTAGGAGGTTAATGATTTTCAATTAATTGATCACTAGTTGAATTTTCTTGTAATTTCTATTGACATTCAAGACAAAGAAAATGTATTTGGCACGTTGCAACAATCATTGTAAAATTCGACAGGGAATAAAGCTATATCAATATACTTTGCATGATCTTTTTGATATTATTTTAATTTAATGCAACTTTGCCCATCTTTCATAGATATATAGGTAAGTCAAATGTGAGGATATGTTTTGGTCTACTCAAGAGACATTATTAAATGAGCTAGGAACATCGATCTTCGTATTCAAATGTGTGTTGTCTAAATCTTGAATTGATATTAAAATGGATGAATGTAGGGTGGATTCGATGTTCTTGCATTGTTCAATTATCTCAAGTTCTATAGTGTTTCCAAATTAATTATTTAGAATTAGTTAATTTGGTATAGATTTTAGATTGTTAATACAAACATCATCACCTGTCTGTTAGGGATTAAAATTTGAATTTTAATATAAGTCAAAGTCAACAACTAATTTTAACTACATATTTAATGAGATTCACAACTTTTTAAACATACACTTCATCAACTTTTATTAAAATTTACTAAAAATTCGATTTTAATACCCACCAAACGGGACCAAATATTATCTAATTTTGCTATTTGACTAGAGTTGGGTTTAATTAAAAACTAGATTAAATACTCAATCTACGTGAACGATGATTTACTCATTATTTGTTACTTGGCTACCAAATGGTGCACTTGCGGGATTTTAGCCATCACTATTCTTTAGTTTCAGTGTTAGGAAATTAGAATAAGTCTTTTCTCAGAATCTGTAATTTGGAGAAAATGGATAAAGTAAGAAAATTACTTATTTAATTTTGATATCCCAATTCTTGATGCTGCTTGTTTGGTGTTAGAGAAGAAGTAGGAGAGAAAATATTGAGAATTAATATTACGAGCTTAGAAGTTGTAACATGGGCGTCTTTCTTCACAATGCACTGTAATTGATGCTGTGTTAACTAAATCCTCTTTCTTAACATTTATGCCTTCATTTTGTGTTCATCTGATAAATCACAACAAATTAAAAAGAATGAAGCCATTATCTTGACCCGCCCCAGTCCAGACCATCTAGGGACAGGCCTCGGAGAAATGTGGGAACCGAGCTCATGCAATGACAAAACCAGGACCTCTCTTCAACCGGTCCAAGCCGCCTTGCTGAGCGCACTAATCTAAGGGAGGGGGTAAGAATAGTTTTGTTTAAGGATCCATATCATTGTCCCCAGTAAAAAAAAGGATCCATTGACTTCTGATTAGTTTTTGATGAAAATAAACAAGTGGGAAATCTATAAGGACATTAGTTAAGATTCCTGTAGTTGAATAGACATTTCTAAGCAGTTATGTCGAGCATCTGATATGAATTTATATCACAATATGGTTATCAAGAATTATATTATTTTCGATTACAAACGCAATATATATTTAATATGTGCATTGGATCAAGTGTGAACCTATGCACTCCATCTTAGTTTAGTCTCCTTGAATGAGTCAGTTGCATTATTCTAAAGCTTAAAACTTATTCCTGCATGATATATTTAAAATAATGACATTTCTCTTTGGTGTGGTGGTTTGAATAATACCTTCTTCACGACAGGAAATTAAGTCTTCGGGGTTGCAAAATGTCTTCTTTTGTGGTACTTTTCTTCTTGTTAGGCTGCATATTATTGCTGCAGGCATCGAAGGGATTACCAGATGACAGCAAAAACCACAATTGCCATGTTCTTGGGAGAATTGGGGGTGTTATTTATCAGAGTTCTCGCATTGGCCGGGAGCAGAAAATAGCTATGGAGATGGCTATCCATGACTTTGAGAAGCGCAGCTTGAATTGCTCAAAGCTGGTTTTGCACCTCAAAGATTTAGACCTGAACTCAGCTGGTGCAGTTTCTGCTGGTAAACTTTTATTTTCTAATTAGATAAGAAACTATTAAGTTTTGCTTTATTTGTATGTATTTGCATAAGTTTTTATGAACTTGGCAATGTATTGTGACAAATAGCTAACTTCCTATGCTCTCCGTTATCATCAATGAGTGTCCTCCCTACTTGGATTGACTTTATTAACTGAAGTAATAGGATTGCAGGAGTAAGTCAATCCTTTTTGATAGGTAGAAACAAGGATTCCACCACAGATGAATAAACTCAAAGGTTGTCATTAGTTTGATGGATTTGACCCGGCTAAACTTTGATCATGTGAGAATAAGAGAAGCAAGGGAGGGCGCCGTTTCTGCTTCACCGAACTGGAGGGGCAGAAACTGGGCGCCTAGGTGCCTCGGGTGACAGAAAATTGGCGCCTAGGCGCCCGATTCAGCCTATAAATTGCTGTTTTTTTCCCTTCATTAATTGAACCTGATTTTGAGAGAAAAATAGAGAGAGCTTGGGATAGAATTTAACAAGTAAGAAGTTGTTCTTTTTGGGTATAAATTCAAAGCTATTTTTCTTTCTTGGGGATTAACTTGAGGCTTGTTCAAGTAATCTAAATCCATTGTTCTTCATTTATATTGAAAATCATTTCTTCCCCAATTTCTTATCTTTCAAGTGGTTTGGAATTTTTCACATTGCAAGTTATCTTTCTTGGGCATTCTTGGGAGTGTTGTTTTCCCAACAATTTGGTATCAGAACTTCTTCTTAAATCAGGGTGGTTATGCTCCAATTTTTGGTGGGTGGCTTGAACTTTGTTGTACACACAAGGTGTTTGTGAAAATTCTCAAGTGAACTTTGTTGGTTTATTTCTGGTAAACAAGTAGATAAATCATGTCTGCTAGAGGAATGGTGAAGATTGGGAAGTATGAGATAGAGAAATTCAATGGGAAGAATGACTTCTGATATTGGAGAATGCAAATGAAAAATTTGTTAATTTCTCAAAAGTTGCACAAGGCATTGGCGGGAAAGGAGAAGAAGCACATAGATATGTTTGACGAGAATTGGGAAGAGCTAGATTTTGAGGCACGAGCATCTATCATTCTATGCCTTGAAAGAGATGTTGCTTTCTTGGTTAATGGTGAGGAAACGGCGGCGGAGGTGTGGACAAAGTTGGAGGCAAATTTCATGCCGAAGACTCTAACAAATCGGATCTATTTGAAGTCCAAATTGTATACTTGCAAGATGGATAAAGGTACACCAATCCAAGAGTACGTCAACAAGTTTGATAGGTGCATATCGGACTTGAAGGACATTGATGTGAAAGTAGATGATGAGGATCAAGCACTTCTACTACTTCTTTCATTGCCAAAGTCTTACAAGAACCTAGTACAAACATTGATGCTTGTGGGTGATAAACTTGTGATGGAGGACACTAGAACGTCACTTCTAGCGGATGATCTTCGAAAGATTGCAACTAGTGGCATGTCTATCATTGGTAATAAGGAGCAAGCTCAAGGATTCTTTATAAGATGTAGAAGCAATGTGTGACCAAAGGGCAAGGGAGAAAAATCTAGATCGAGTTCTAGACCTCTTGCGGAAAGGCCTTGTTTCAAATGTGGCAAACTTGGGCATTTCAAGGCGAATTGTACTAACAAAAAGGGTTGGAAGAAGAACAATAAGAACAACAACAACGAGAAGGTGCAAGTCAAGTAAGAGGTTAGCTATGCCTCGGAAGGAGGGGAAAGCGATGAGTGCTACACCATCTCTTGTGATAAAGAAATTTTCGGTAAGTGGATTCTTGACTCTGGATGCTCTTACCATATGTGTCCAAATAGGAAGTGGTTTACTACCTATAGAAGCACTGATGGTGGAACCGTGTTGATGGGTAATAACCATTCCTGTAAAACGGTGGGGCTCGATTCAATTAGAATCAAGATGTTTGATGGAGTGGTTAAAACATTGATGGATGTTAGACATGTTCCTGATTTGCGGAAGAACTTTATCTCTGTTGGTGTTTTAGACTCCAGTGGTTGCAAGATTGTAACATGGAATGGAGTTAAGAAGGTTGTTTGTGGTTCTTTGATTGTGATGAAGGGTATTCGTGAAGGCAATTTCTATGCTCTTCAGGGTACTACAGTTACAGAAGATGTAGCGGTTGGAACAAGTGGAAGTGGTGGAGACCCATGTGAGTGCACTCGGCTATGGCATAGCAGGCTTGGGCATATGTTTGAAAAGGGGCTAGATCTGCTAGTCAAGAAAGGTTTGCTAAAGAATTTGAAGAAGTCTTGCATTGCGTGTGTGGTAAAGCACACCGAGTTCAGTTCCAGCCAAGCAAACATAGAAACAGAGGTATTCTAGACTATGTGCACAGGGATGTATGGGGTCCGGCTTTAGTCACTTCCAAAGGCGGTTTCAGGTATTTTGTCACATTTGTTGATGATTTTTCTAGATATATTTGGATTTATTTTTTGAAGCATAAGAATGAGGTATTCGACACTTTCAAGAAGTGGAAAGCAATGGTTGAAAACAAAACAGGAAAGAAATTGAAGACACTGCGATCTGATAACGGTACTGAGTATACAGATAGTGCTTTCAAGGAGTTCTGTAGTAAGGAAGGCATTGCGAGACACTGGACAGTTGGGAATACACCGCAACAGAATGGGGTCGTAGAAAGACTGAATCGCACATTTTGAGAGAAATCGATGTGTATGCGATCCTATGCTGGTTTGGGCAGAGAATGGTGGGCAGAGTCGATTGCAAATGCTTGCTACATAGTGAACCGGTCTCCACATTCAAGGTTAGATGGAGATGTACCTTACAGGGTATTGATAGGAGAACATGCAGATTATGAGAAACTCAAAATATTCGGATGCACAACCTACTATCATGTCAACGAGAGAAAGCTTGATGCGAGGGCCAAGAAGGCTATATTCTTGGGGTATGCGGCAGGTGTAAAAGGCTATCGCCTATGGTGTGTAGAGGATTCTAAGTTCATAATCAGCAGAGATGTTACTTTTGACGAGAACACCATGATAGCTTCGTTGAAAGCTACAGTTCCTGATGGTGATGATGTTGAGACTAAAAAGTCTCAAGTTGTTGACATAGAACCTAGAGATCAACATGGTTCTAGGCATGTTCAAGAGGAGCATCATGCAGACACTCAAGATGAGAGTGATGATGAGTTTGAACAAGAGACGATTCAGCAAAAAAATGTACAGGCACAGCACAACAGCAGCTTGCAGATAACTTGGCTTCCTCTAGGCCATGGCGTACTTACAAGCAAGTTCTAAAGTTGGGGTCAGACGAGCCTTTGAGGCACTATGGGCAGACAAATTTGGTTGAGTATGCACTCTCGGTGGAGGATGATGAGCCTGTCACTTTCAAGGAAGCTATTTTAAACAACAATAGTGAGAGTTGGTTGGCAGAAATGGAAGAAGAGATAGAATCACTTCATAAGAACCAAACATGGGAGGTTGTCCCATTGCCCATAGGTAAGAAAGCTATTGGTTGCAAGTGGTTGTACAAAAAGAAAGAGGACCCTACCAAGCTCGGTGGTACAAGATTCAAAGCAAGGTTAGTGGCTAAGGGGTTTGCACAAAGAGAGCGAGTTGATTACAATGAGATCTTTTCTCCGATGGTCAAGCACACTTCCATTCAGGAGCTATTGAGTATTGTTGCTTATCATGATCTTGAGCTGGAACAACTCGATGTCAAAACCGCCTTCTTGCACGGGGACTTGGATGAGGAAATCTATATGCATCAACCTGAGGGCTACAAGGTTGAGGATAAGGAACATCAGGTATGTCGTTTGAGAAAATCACTATATAAATTGAAGCAATCTCCTCGGCAATGGTACAAGCGATTTGAATCCTTCATGCTAAAGCATGGTTTCTCCAGAAGTGAGTATGACTGTTGTGTTTATATTCGAAAACATCGGGGAGATAACTATATCTATCTTCTTTTGTATGTGGATAACATGCTTATCGTTTCGAAAAGCAAGGTGGAGATAGATAGGTTGAAATCTCAACTTGGTAAAGAGTTTGAGATTAAAGATATGGGGGCTGCCAGGAAAATACTAGGTACGGAGATTAGAAGAGAGAGGATGAACCGGCGAATGTTCTTGAGTCAGAAAGGCTACATTGAGCGGGTTATTGCTAGGTTCGGGTGACAAGGTGCAAAGTCGGTGGTGACTCCATTGGCTCCACATTTCAGGCTCTCTGGTAAACAGTCTCCTACTACAACGGAAGAAAAGGTACGCATGGATCGTGTACCTTATGCTAGTGCAGTTGGCAATTTGATGTATGCCATGGTGTGTACACGCCCAGATATTTCACAGGCGGTTAATGTGGTCAGTAGATTCATGGCGAATCCGGGGAAGGCACACTGGGAAGCTGTGAAGTGGATCCTGAGGTACTTAAAAGGTACTGCGGATACGGATTTATGTTTTAGTGGAGATGTATGTCATATAAGTGGGTTTGTGGACTCGGATTATGCAGGTGATCTAGATAGACAACGATCTACTACTGGATATCTGTTTTGCATACATGGTGCCCCAGTTAGTTGACGATCGATGTTACAGGCCACAGTTGCTCTATCTACTACAGAGGCCGAGTATATGGCCATGGCAAAGGGAGTGAAGGAAGCATTGCGGTTGTGGGGTCTTCTAGATGATTTGAGGATTGAGCAGGATTGTGTGGATTTGTGGTGTGATAGCCAGAGTGCGATTCACTTGGCTAAGAATCAGGTTCATCATGCTCGAACCAAGCATATCGACATCAGGTATCATTTTATGCGTGATGTCATAGAGGAAGGTGATATTTCACTCTTGAAGGTATACACAAATGAGAACCCAGCAGACATGTTAACCAAAGTGGTAACGGGTACCAAGTTTCAGCATTGCTTGGACTTGCTTCACATTAGTCCGTGTTGATATGCCCGAGTGGGCATGGCCCTTCAGGGCGGGGTTGAAATGAGGTGAAGAGTATATGAAGGTGGAGGTGAACTACGGAGGCTTGATCCCGAGTTTTGGGTATGTAGGCAACCATGGTTTGAATGGTGCAGCCGAGTTTGGCGCTTGCTTCTTCTTCTTGTGTTTGTCCAAAATTTGAGGTCTATCAAATGATGTACGGGTGGAGAATTTTGAGAATAAGAGAAGCAAGAGAGGGTCCCTAGGCGCCCAGTTTCTGCTTCACTGAACCGGGGGGGCAGAAATTCAGCCTATAAATTGCTGTTTTTTTTCCTTCATTAATTGAACCTGATTTTGAGAGAAAAATAGAGAGAGCTTGGGATAGAATTTAACAAGAGGTTGTTCTTCTTGGGTATAAATTCAAAGCTATTTTTCTTTCTTAGGGATTAACTTGAGGCTTGTTCAAGTAATCCAAATCCATTGTTTTTCATTTATATTGAAAATCATTTCTTCCCCAATTTCTTATCTTTCAAGTGGTTTGAAATTTTTCACATTGCAAGTTATCTTTTTTGGGCATTCTTGGGAGTGTTGTTTTCCCAATAGATCAAGAGAATGGTTTTATTCATAATTACGTTCTAAGGAACTATAATGTATAATTATAATATTACTCTTGAAAGACGCCGAAGACTAAATAAAAAATACATGGAAGGAACGAGACAAAGGAATGGACAAATTTCTTAGTCGACTTTTTGGTCTTTTTCCATGTAAGAAAGATCTAGTCCATACTTGTGATCCAATAATCTGACATGTAAATTTTCCACTATCAATTTAAAGACCATTTTTTTTAAAGCATTGAATTACTAAATGTCCCTGCATTCTTGCCCTATAATTTCAATTGCAGCCGTTGAACTTGTCAACCAGAAGCACGTTGATGCCATCCAAGGAACATTGACACTTCAAGAAGCTGCTCAACTTGTGGAGTTTGTTAATGTGATCAAAGACGTTCCCATCATTTCCATTACGTCAAAATCCTCATCCACAGCACCAATCCCGGAAAAACTGCTCCCTTTTATTCAGATGACTAACCACATCGACGTGCAAACCCAGTGCATCGCCTCCATTGTTGGCCATTTTCGGTGGCGAAAGGTGATAACAGTTTATGAACGCAGCACCAGTTTCACAGAAGATTCCGGGATCATCACCCACCTCTCTGATTCACTCCGAGGAGTCGACTCGTTTGTTGAACATCATATAGCTTTTCCTATTGCATCTTCTCTCTCGAATCGTGGAGCCTATGTCAAACAAGAATTAAATAAGCTCAAAAGCAAGAGTGTCAGGATTTTCATAGTCATGCGTTCTTCTTTGGACTTTGCTGTAATTCTTTTCGAAAAGGCAAAGGAATTGGGAATGATGGAAAAAGGTTACGTGTGGATTGTATCTGATGAAATCGCAGGCTTTCTTGATTCCATCCCATCGCCTGTTATACTTAATATGCAAGGTGTTATTGGTTTCAAGAACAACTATGAGGACACCAGTGAATCTTTCAGAGAGTTCAGAACCAAGTTTAGAAGAATGTACAGATCAAAATATCCAGAAGAAGAAGAATACTCGAACCCCAGTTTTTACGCACTTCGAGCTTATGATGCAACTTGGATCGTTGCCAAGGCCTTGCAGAATTTACAAGGAAAGATTGACTCCAAAGAATTAGTGAAGCAGATTTTTCACAGTAACTTTGAAGGTCTAAGTGGAAGAATAAGCTTTAACGATGGTTTTCTTACGCAGAATCCAATTTTTCAGATAGTCAATGTGATTGGTAAAAGCTATAGAGAAATAGCATGGTGGTCGCCAGAGTATGGTTTCTTTGAGGACCAGATAGAAAACGAGGAAATGAAGAAGGGAATTTTTGAAGGTTTAGAGGGGAAACTGACTTCAATTTACTGGCCTGGCGGTGAGCGTACTGTTCCGAAAGGATGGACTTTAGCCGGTACAGAGAAACCTTTGAGGATAGGCGTTCCAGCAAGAGGTGCTTTTAATCAGTTTGTTAATGTTGTGTTTGATCAGGACAGAAATGAAACTTCTATTGGCGGATTTTCAATTGATGTCTTTGAGGCTGCAGTGAAGCAGCTTCCTTATCACCTCCCATTTGCGTTTGTACCCTACTATGGTTCATATGATGAAATGGTGGCAGAAGTTCACAACAAGGTAGCCATTATAATTATATACTTCAGATTAAAATTCAATTTTAAGAAATTTTAATGATTTTTTTCTTGTATTTCACAATCTCAGTAGCTGTTACTTGACATTTTACAACAGTGTTTCCATTATATATTCTAATTTTCTGCTATGGAAAACTTTGAACACAAAGTGTGTGTTGAATAAAAAGGGTTGCTGACAATGACATTGTTGCTTCTTTTAAGCAAAGAGATACTAACTAATTTTCTAATAAAAGAGACTGGATGCAGCAGTAGGTGACACAGAAATAATGGCGGATCGCTATGTTTATGCAGAATTTTCGCAGCCCTATATCGAATCTGGGCTGGTAATGGTGGTGACAGTAAAACCAGGTTTGAAAGATAAAGGATTCGTAGTTGTAGATGCCTTCAAGAAGGAAATGTGGATTCAGATGGCAGCTATGAGCATGTCCTCCGCAGTTGCTATATGGTTAACTGAATATGCTAACAACAACCCGGATATAAGAGGATCATTCTGGCAGCTAATAAGTTCCATGCTATGGTTTTGCGTCACTGTTCTCTCTCTTGCACACAGTAAGTTTCCCCATGTCGCATACAATGCATGTTATTACACGCCCCTTCACATGCAGGTTAGATTCTGTAAGGTGGATGACTCTAGCCACATGGCACATGATTATTGGATTAGAGAACTTGGTGAAAATTGTGCTAGTTTAGGAGAACTGTGGACCATAGGTTAAATTCAATGGTTGGATTTAGTCTTGTGAACAATTTTTCTATACTAGAGTTGTCTCTTTCACTCTCTATCATTAGCACAATGTTTGAATTTTGAATTCAAATGTCTTGGTCCTTTAATTGCAAGACTTTTCACTTGGTTCATTTGGAGTTAGCAAAACAAGAGAAATAGAGAGAGTAACTAAGTGGGAGAGGTTTTTTTCTCTAGTGAATATTCTTGGTTATCTCCGGCGAGTTTCTTTGTTAATCCATTGCCATTCCCTTGGATGATGGTGCTTTGATCAGGTGTGGCACAAATCTGAGTTCAACATTATAGGACACATTGCTGGTGGTGTTGAAGAAGCTTTGGGTCGGTTTTCCTCACTTTGGAGAGATATTTTTCCGCATTGTAGTTGTAATAATCTTTGTTACCAACATTATATCTCTACAGATTCAGTTTTATCTTGCATGTCCCTAATTTCTATAAATAGATCTTGAACTCAACATTTGAAATGCTCTAATACCATATTCAACCACCTTGTCTAAACTATTAATTCCAGTATCTGATAGGTTGTTGGTTTCAGGAGAAACGATCAGAAGCAATCTATCTAGACTTGTGCTTGTAGCTTGGTTATGTGTAGTTGCAGCTGTAGCAGCATGTTTTACTGCTGTCCTGAGTTCTATGCTGACAGTCCCAAAGCTCCAACCATCCATTTTAGATGTTGACTATCTTCTGAGGATAAATGCTCCAGTCGGATGCAATGGGAATTCTTTCATTGTGCGATACCTGATTAATGTTTTACATTTCAAACCAGAGAATATTCGGAAAATCAATTCAATCAATCACTATCCTTCAGCTTTCGATAAGGGGGAAATCTTAGCAGCATTTTTTGTTGCTCCACATGCTAAAGTATTCCTAGCAAAGTACTGCAAAGGATATATCATGACAGGGCCTACCTACAAACTAGGTGGTTTTGGCTTTGTAAGATTGCATTCTTACTTTTCCCGCTATGTAGGTATAGTGTGCTGTGTTACTGAACTCGACAGTTTTTTGGAAAAGATTTTAGTTTCTGTCCAATGCTATATAATCCATATATTTTCTTGTCAGTCTAGCTCCAAACATGGTTTTTGGCTTTATAAGGTAGCTCTTGTTTGGTAAAGCTTTTTTCAGATTTTAAAATGGTCAAACTTTACTTCCAACCACACATTTCAACGTATCCACAATTTTTATTCACTTGGTAATAACCAGCTTAGAATCTCAGAAACTTTGTCAAACAGGTCCCGTTCTCCGATCAGTGTACGTGTAGTATAAAGTATTACACCGTATGCTATACAGCCCATTTTTTCTTGTCATCCTAGCATCAAACTTGGTGGCTTTGTAGGATGGAATTCCCGCTCTCCTTCCAGTATACGGCTGTATTGCAGTATTAGAGTGTACAAGATAATATTGTAAACAATATCTTAGTTTTTTCTTCTTTCTCGATACTTGAGTGATATCTAATCATATTTTTTTTCTTGTCTCAGGTTTTTTCAAAGGGTTCTCCATTAGCCATTGATATATCAGAAGCTATTCTCAAAATCACACAGAATGGAGAAGTTAACCAACTGGAAAAACACATGCTTTCCTTTTCAAATTGCTCGACTTTGTTGACTCAGGTAGCAGATAACGTTGGAAGCTTAGGGCCAGAGCCTGTCTCTGGCTTATTCAAGATTTCAGGTTCCATTTCTACAATTGCAATTGTAATTGCGGTTGCTCGTTTAATGCGAAGACAGTGGTCAATTCATGATTTAGTACAAAGATTATTGACAATGAAGAGAGTTTGGAGATGGGCCGCATTGATTCTTACTGAGTGCTACTCAGGATTTGGTTTAAGATTCTTTAGGGAAACCACTATAATGGGACAAAATCATCAAACGGATGCAGCTCAAGATCGCATGGGGCAAAAAGAAATTAGCCTGGAGCTGACTACCACTCAAACATATATATAACTTCTATGCCATGGGATAAACAGCTATCAAATAGGTACAATGTATGTATGTCTGGGAACATGAATTATAGACGTAGTTAGAATAAAAAAGAAAAGGTCTTCTCACTCATCAAGAATGTTTGATATAATTCTTTTTTTATCCTTTTGAAGCAATGTCCTGGCTGGATTATGTCCACAATTTTTGTTGGAAAATATGGGTCGTGAGTCGTCCATGTGGGGTGACCAAACCCGCAAATCACAAAAGTGGTTGAAGGAAATGGTTTGGACTTGGAATTCAAATTTACAACTGTTGACTTATGGTTGACTTCATCGTTAACGTTTTGATCATAACAAACAAGATTAATATTGTTTCTAACAATTGATTTTGAGTGACGATAGTTCAATGTTAAAATAAATTAAGCATTATAAATCAGACTCGAAATGAAGATTAAAGTGGAAGTTAAGCATTTAACTCAAATCATTCGAGATGAGAGCTTAAAAGATAAAAGCCAGGAAAAGATCAAGATCAAGAGCATAAGAGACGCCATCAAAGAAATTTCAAGACGAAAAGTTTAAGAGCCAAGAGCCAAACATGAAAGAAACTTCGAAACAAGATCAAAGACTAGGCCTTCTAGATCATATGTAAAGGTATAACACTTTGAAGAATGATTAAAACTCAAAATCCTTCTATGCATTAAAATTAATTTTTTGTGCATTAAAAGTCATTCGAATACAACATTTTGATCAAATATAAAAATGATTTTTAAAATGATATTTGAACTTCAAAAATAACTTTTATCTTGAAAAATTAGTTAAAAATATTTTCAAAAGTCTATACGCTTCAAAACCTTCAAAGTTGGTCAAACGGAGTCAAAACGCGAAGATGCCAAAAACTGCCGATGGTCAACCGACGACGATCAACCGGCTTGAAGAGGACGTGCCAGTCAATTGGAAAACTCCAACAGTCCAAAATTTAACCGTTCTGAACTCTAATTTTTACTGTACAAATGACTATTTTGGTCAGCCGGACATGATGCGGTCGATCGGATAGGTCATCCGCATTTACAGAGTTTTTTTTGACGTTTTGAAGTCTATAAATACCATAATTTTTTGCGTTCATTACAAAAACTTGAAGAGAACATTCTTGGAAAATCTATTTGTGAAAAATCTTCTTCGAGCTTACATTTTTATTTCTTCTTAACAAAAACTTTAATTGTTGAATCGATTTCTCTCATCAAAATTTTCTCTCTCTCTTTGTTTTTAACTTATTTATTTTGATCTTAATAAGAGAGACATATTTTTGAAGAAGGTTGTTGCACTTATATTGCATAATCACTTCTACTTCTTCATACTGAATACTTTGATTAATTGAATCAAACTTATAAAACCATTATCTTCATCAAAGTTTCTCATTTCTCTCTTAGTACTTGATTTATTACAATCATTCATTAAGAGAGAGGTATTTTTTGAGAAGATTATTTGAACTTACATTGCATTTAATTATTCTTCATCTTCTCATTGAAACACTTTGATTAATTGAATCTAACTTTTCATTACCATATTCATCAAGTTTTTCATCTAACACTTGAGCTATCATTTTTTACTATCCATTAAAGTGTTAATCTCTCTTAGTACTTAATTGATTTGTATTATTTATCAAGAGAGGAATTCCATTGTAAAATCACTTTGATAAAGTGTGCGTCATATTGAGGTCCCATAAAGTTCAATAGTATGGGTCGTGTTGAGGTCTTGCAAAGTTCAATATTGTATAAAGATCGATATTCCTTGTTTGTAAGTCACCGGAAGCGTTGTAAAGGGTTGGATTGCACCATAAATCAATCAACATAGCGAAAGGCCTTGCTCATGCCGGAGAGCTTGGTAATGGAGGACGTAGATCATTGCTTTGGATCAAACCTCCACAATTATATCGCTTGCATTATCTCTCCCTTTTACTTGTTACTTTTATATTTGCACTGATTATTTGAATTTATCTATTTAGTCATTACTTGCTTGAATTTACATTAATTCTTAGAAAAAGTTTTAAAAACCAATTCACCCCCCTCCCCCTCTTGGTTAGTCAATCTTGGGCTTTCAACAACTCCCCATAACCTCCCTAACTCTCCATATTATCTCTAATCATGGTCTAATATAAGGATGGAGGAAAAAATGGTGAAATTCGTATGTGAAAATATACAAAAATTGGAAAGGCCCTAAAAGCACAATTTTGACATGAAAACTCACAATATTAGGCAATTAGATTGTAGATAATAATCATCTTCTATTGCGATCGAAAATGGGATCATTGGAGTTCTAAAATATAGAGAATTTGGGACAAGCAAGGTGACTCAACCACACAAAGATTTTGGAATTCATGATTTCAAGTAATAATTCTCGAACTAAATTTATGTTCAAACATGCCGCGATTTCTTTCATTGGTATCGGAGCCTTAACGGTTGTTTTCCTTTCATATTATCTTGCTGTAAATGGAGTTAAAATGATGAAATCTTGTATGACTTTTATGATAAAGTTTGAAGCATCGTTAATAGCTTGTCATAAAACATGCAAAATAATATCACGAAATTTTTACAACATGTTCCCAATATGTTTAGATGATATTTGCAAATTTTCAAAATTTTTGGTTTTATGTTTTTGAAGAAAAATGAAACCTAGTTAAATTACAGAAATTTTAAAAATTTATTGTATTTTTTTCATTGCTTTGCATAACATTGGTATGGATAAAAAGGTATTTCAATGAGTTTTCCAACCATATAAAGAACTTAAATTTTAGATTTCAAATGAAGAAGTTATGAATTTTTTAATTTCGGAACGAAATCTAAAAATTTAAGAAAAAAATTAAGAAGATGAATAATACATTTTTCCACCTTCACTCTCTGTGCATTGTGTTTGTGTTCCAAACATGGTACTAAGCATAGAATTTTTAAATTCTGGTAACACTGATGAACTTAAAATGTTGAAATTTGTGGAATATGCAATAAAAATAAAACAAACAGGGAGTAAGCATTGTAGTTAATGCAAACAGGCACACATGGAAATCCCCCAGCACGTGAGGGCACGTGGATGCGTGGTTTACAATTTTAAAAATTGCATTTTGATAATTAATTTTTTAGTATAAAAATATTATATTTTCAGATTGTTAAAGTATTTTTTTTTATGTATTTAAAGTTTAAAATACATTTTAAATGCTTCATTTTTTTTCAAATTGAATATTCCATTTGGAAGCGATTTCTTGAAAATTATATGTAAGTCGAAAAAATACGATTTTAGTATCAAAATTTTTCTAATTTTAAATAATATCACATTCTCATGTTCTTGAGTGGTCTTGATCTTAATGTGGTTGTGCAAGTACATTATGACATATTCTTGTATTTCATCTTGAGTCCGATGTGACTAGATTGATGCACATTTTTAACATGCTAAGGAAGAATTTTAAAAAGTCTACAGATACAAAAATGTATCGAAAAGCTACTGGCTTATCGAAGGAACTGAAATATAACTTAATGTAATACATCAATATTTTTGAGACATTTTTTAGTGATAAGCAAATTATGAGTACTATGATGTCACTTCCTATTTTGTTGGGACTGTGTTGCAACAGAGATTAAAGTGAGGTTGAGTATCTATATAATAAAATTTAAATAATGTGAGTTATATTCTTTGATTATATTTGGAATTATTTTTAGAAAGAACTAATTTGTGATATCATCGTACATTTCATAATTGAATAAATATACATATTTATATTTTAATTTCACATTATGAAATGACCTTATTGAAATTATATGATATCTGTTAATTCGCGAACTATTATAAATGCTAAGATCAATGGAATTATTGAGATTCTTACTTAGACTTATTGATTCAGTTGAGTGATACTTCAGTAATTGAAAGATGATGTGAACCCATGTAGTAATTGAAGCTATGAAACCCACACGAGATTGAATCACAACCCAAAAAATCTAAGAAATCAAAGTTTTAACTTTGATTCAAAAACATTGAAACAAGTAACCAACAATCGCTAACAATATGTTGACCTCTTGATCACAAGACTCAAAAATCTCACTCAAATTGTTTGAACACCACAAGAAACTAATTCTTAATAAGTTTGAAATTTGTTCAATGAAGAACAAGGAATTGAAAGCAAATTATACTCACAAAATTAATCTATCGATTGATATAATAAATGTTGTTTACAATGTAGAATAATGAGTCTTATTTGTGGGAAATCCATAAAAACCTAGTCTAAACGAAATTAAAGTCTGAATGTACTAAAAGATATAGAGTTTTAAAATAAATAAAATATTTCACCAAATTGAAAAAATCACATGTCAAACTTGTACTATGCGGTCGCATAGTTGCCTTAGATGTGACCGCATTAGATGTGACCGTGTAGAAGCCTTGAATTCTCCTCACTCGCTACTTGGTCATATGTGACCACGTGGTTCATATAACTATGCGGTCGCATAGTTATATGATTTGTTCCCTTCATCCATTGCTCAAATCAAGTTGATCCAACGTGTTTCTTCTTCCGATCCCAACATGAAACTTGTTGTTAGGCTTGTTAACTTAACTCTTTTGGACTTCATAGTTTGGACCATGACTATAGGGCTCCATGAACTTTATTTGATCTCGAGCTTGCCCTTGGCCTCTCCTCAACATACATCAAACTCTTGATAGCTCGTTGTATTCCTTGGATCATGTCATCCCCTCCCCTCCCTCTTTGAAAGGATATAACCTCGAATCTATACCTGCACGAAAGAGAAAAATATAAGAAATGTCAAAAATGCAAATTACCATAGACTTAGTTTGAAGATTCAAACTGTAGTCATTGTCTTCAATCATTGCAATGATGTGGAATGGTCCATCTCTTCTAGGATGAAACCTTGACCTTCGTTGCAATCGAGCACACCTATTTCGCCTACGCATCCAAACCCAATCACTTGGTTTGAATACTTTACACATTTTCCTTTACTATCTTGAGATGCATACAATTCAATCTCCTACTTTCCATCCAAACTACCACTTACAACAATAGTTAAAGGAGTTAAACCAAACAAAGTTAACGGATTTAAATCATAAACCATATCAAAACGTGTAGTAGTAGTATTAGTGGATATGAAATTAAGGAATTCAATATTGAA